TCGAAATCTGATGCAGAATTCTTAATGGCATTGAAACAGTTCTTTTCTCAGCCACATGGTAGATATGGGCACTATGAGTCCGGGAGAGATTGGCTGTGGGTACCACTTCTTGTCTTCAGCTGTGACTGCGCAATATCAGCAAGTGCACTTTGTATCTTTTCGAGAAGCATGTCCCCTCGATAAACAACATCCTCCAGACATGTAGCAGCTTCGTGGTTTTCTTCTTCTAGCTTATACAAGCTAGCAGCCTTTATAAGACACAAATTTAAAAATCTTTTGAGAAATTAAAAATGAAGATTAAGAAGAACTGAGAAGGAAAGAAACTGCAGAAGTATTTACTTTTATATCTGGATGACTATGCAACCATTGTAATAGAGTTTTCAGTGGCACAAGTTCTAAAATCGGGGAACTATTAAAAGTTTTCCTTTTATGAATTATTTAAAATGATGAATTTTTAATTAGAGCTCTCTCAATGTCTATATGTGACTCCCTTCCACACTGCTTTCAGACACCACTATTCTACTCCACATCCAGAATGCCATCCTCCTCTCATTCTTGGCTAGGTAAAGAGCCAAACTGAGAAAAATAGGAAGTCCTTATATCTCAAAATTGGACAGCTATATATACATATTCTGTGCAGTCTTTAAAAGACTATACTAATTCACAATGAATGAAACTCTCACTTTAAAATTTAATCTTAAACTTTAACTATTTTAACAAATAGTATTAAATCCTTTAAGTCAAAATTCCCTACTAGCAAAGTACTACTTAAAGGAAGAGATTTTTACCTGTAAAGCAGCTGTAGATTCTTCACTTGGCAAGGAATCTATCAAAACATCAATGTCTTTTGCTGTTCGTGCAATCAGTGCTGCAAAAAGCTGGGCATATTCTGGATAAAGATACTACTAATTTAGGATATTAAAGAAGCTCAAGGTTTCAGAAACAGAAATTAAACATTAACTTAATGAAGCCAGAAAACTTTATATAACTTGTTCTATACTAGACTTCTAAAGACTAAAGTGTAGTTTTAACACATCCACCCTGTTAAGTGTTTGAGAATTACCCTTAATATTAACTCAAATTAAGAACTAACCATAATATATATCCCTTATTAGGACAATATGGTGGTCACTTGGATAACAAAATCTGTAAATGGGATGCCTGCCTTATTAAGATCCCAGAAGTAAAATTCAGTTAAGTTCATACAAATCTTCCTCTAAAGGAGTGACAATCTGTTATTTGACATAAACAGAATTATGATACGTTACTATATGGCATGTTATGTCAAATTGACTATAAGAAACTAATTTCCTTTATGACCAAGCTTGCAGTAAAATTCTCAAACATTTTTAGAAAGCCACAAATAGGCTACATTTCTCAATAAATCTAATTTTAAAAGATTACAAGTAATATGAGAGTCAAACTAAGAGAAGCCAAAGAAATCTACTTACCTTCTGTAGGATTAGCCGGCTGATCTTTGTTAATTGCTGTCTGAATATTACTAAAAGAGGCAGGAGGACCACACTGCTGCAACACTCCAATGGCATTACAAAACTGATCTGCAAGCTTGAGGCCAAGGGGAACATGCCAAAGTTAGAAAGGATTTATCAAATGTAAGGATTTTATTGGTAATGCAACAACAATAAGTTTCTATAATAATGCTCTCTCAGCAAGGGAATAAAACAGAAACAAGTAATTTTGGATAAAATTAGCCAGTTATTAACAGCGATGAAATGTTTTAACCATTCAAAGAAATTACGTTTGGTAGCAATCTACTTGAAACAGTTGAAAAGAAATACAAAATTTTTCTTTTCTTCACAAGGCAATGGAATGATAAAAGAAATACATGCCAGTACTTGTTGCAAGCACAAGTAAGGACTTTTTGGGGGCAGCAGTAGGAAAAAGCAAATTTGACCAGCAAATATCTAAGTATAGCTCCAGGATAAATAAAATGGTATGTGTAATGCATGTATGAAGTATTGATCCATTGTCTGAGACCAGCGTAGTGACATCTCTAAGGAAGTAGTGGGTAAAGATAGCATCTAAGTATTTAGAAATGTTTTTCTTTATAACTCGAGTTTGTAAACTCTTGGTGCTCTAAAAGTATTCCTTAAGCAGTTCTGAAGATTTAGAATACTAATTCTTTACCAGCTCCAAACTCTTTGCCTCCCCCTCAACTTCTATCGATAGCCCTGACCTCTCAAATCTCAATTCCTTATTTTCAATCAGTGAATAATCATTTCCACTAAATTTCTCTCTGCCTTTATTTGAATGACAGAGCTCAAAGTCAACTGTTTCCTTTAACATCTAATTTGTACTGAGATTCTCCTAGTAAACCAGTATATCACTCTTAACTTTCTTTTCATTTTCAATCCTGTTAATACTACAAATCTTTCCCTTTCCTTCTATCATCACTGCAGCTGTGTTAGTTCAATCAATTACCTCACATCAGAATTGTTACAATAGCCTCCTTATTGTTTTCTAACTCACTGTTATTTTACCCTGTTCAAACATTTTGAGCTCACCCAGTATGGTTTAAATCTCCAATTCTTCAGGCTTTTTCAAAGCTTTCAATAATCTAAGTCAACTCCAGTTACTCATTTTCTACTGCTCCTTCATATATACCTGACTAGTGATAAATTAATTCCTGACTACACTGCTTTTGCTCACATTTTGCAAATGTATGGAGCAGTAGTAGTGTTCAGAAGCGGTACAGATGTGGACTCTTAATTCTGGTACTAGAAACTTGGATTTTTTATTTTTTATTTTTTTAAATTGGAAACATTCTCACATTACAGCATTGTTAGGAGGAGCAGAGAAAACACAAAAAATATACAACACAATGGCTATTTGCTCTGTGCTTCAAAAGCTCTCAAGATCTATTTACTCAACAAATATCTATAGAAAATCAACTATATGACATGCACTGTATATGTATAAACATTACAGAGATACAGCAAACTAGACAGTTTCTGCACTTAAAGAGTTCTCTGAGGGTAAATGTCATTTTGGTGGGATTATGAATAAAATTATAAAAATAATATGCTTAACATTTTTGATAAAAATATATAGCTACATAAAGCTCATTATTAAAAACAAAAAATAGTATTTCATTAATTTTACAAATAATTACAATTCAGATAAATTCTTAGGAAGAGTCCCTCTATTTTAGTTATCACTCTATATTCCAATTTCAGCAGTTACAGCGGAAAATCTTGATTCATTATAACTAACCACATAATACTTTTGCATTATTTAAATGTGTCCTGAATATATGACATCTTCCTAATCAGACTGTAAACTCAAGGAGTGTCTCTCTGTAAACAGGACAGTGGTTATATACACAGTAGGCACACAATACTGGTAAACCTAGAGGTTTCTCTCCAAAATCCAACAATCAGCATGCCTACCCTGGAGTTAAGGCCATCTTCACTTTGTTTTTACCCTCCTCCTGGCTACAAGATAGGTATGAATATGCAACATATCCCTAAAATAACATTTCTATCCAGTAGCATCATTATGATTGGATTTTGTAAAACCTCAAAGGAGTATCTTCCTGAGGGAGGTCGGCTGGCAGCCCAGGAAAGTCACTACCTGGTAGAGTTTATCTTGGTAAATTCATCAACATTTAGGAGCTGGTCCTCTCAGCATTAAAAGGTCTTATTTTATACACACGCCGAGTAGATCCGTTTCTCACAAGTAGATTCACACTCTTCAAGGGTACAAAAGCTGATGTGACAAGAATGTCAACTTTTTAGCATCCACTGTGAAAAAACTGGCAAGGGACCAGGTACTTAGATTTTCCAGTCAACATATTCTCTCTCTATAGACATCTTACCTGGGACGTCAAATCATAAATGGAATGACAATGAGAAATAGAACTCCCAATAGAAAACTACTTAACTCTTAATGGTATTAAGTACACGAATCCTGTGGTTTGCATATACTTTCCACTTAGGCGTAAAAGGAACAATAATCAAAAGGATCAAGGTGGGGGGCTACTTACAAGATATGAAGTAGACTTTGGAGGAGATATTAAAGAAGACTTAAATAAATGGAAATATACGGGCATTAGAAAATTCACTACCATTAAGATGTCAGTTTTCCCCAAATGGATTTATGCTGGGGAGTGGCCAAGAGATGGATCCTTGGGTGTATCGGTACCAAGTAAGATGAAACAAAACTTCTCACCTCGCCATCACTCCCGCCCCAACGTGAACGTTTCGGCGAATACTCTAGGCTAACACCCAATGACAAACACCCAGCCATCAAGCGCATCCGCGGGTTTAAATGGGGGAGATGGGGGGATGGCTTCTGCTGCTTCTCCCCTCTTCCCAAACGAGAACAACTCCTACCAGCATCGCCGACAGAACTGTTCCCAGAGAACAGCACCGGGCGGTCTAAGAGTCCGGGTAGAGAGACCCCCCGCTGCCCAGCGGGAAGAAGCTGCTCGCGCTCCCTCCCGCAGCTCCGCACCGCGGCGCCACCGGCCTCCAGCCTCCCAGAGGCAGCGACGCCTCCCCCCGCTCCGGCCGCTTTTTGCTGAAGCCCCGTTTCAGTCCGCCCCCCACTTCCGGGTTTCGTGGGCTCGAACCCCTTCTCCGCCCCGGCTTTACCTCGAAAAGGGGAAGACAGAGGTGAAATTGCTCACCGAGTTCACCGCGTCCTGCAGCTGCGTGAGCCGGTCCGCCATGTTTCTCCCATCAGCGAAAAGACACTATAGCGGCTGCTCGTACCCGATTGGGCCGCTCAGGGATGCGTCACGACCAATCACAGGGCTGCGTTCTTGGAGGGGGTGGAGTCGAGCACAAAGTCACGCCCCGCGATGAGAGGGAGGGGCTTCCCTGAGGCTCACGCCTTGCAGACCAGCTCCCCCTGGGAACAACCTCCGCGGGGGCTGTTTTCAGTAACTTGGGGAGTGTCTGGGGTCCGCTCGCGTTGGGGGCTAATATACTGTACTGCTTAACAGCCTTCTAGGTAGTAACCCCTTTAGGGAGATTGTTAAATTCTGCGGTTTTTAAACGTCAATTTTCCCTACCCTCCCATGTTTTCATTTTTAAACATCTACGAATTTACTATAGGTTGCTTTTGCTTTCTAGGTGGAACACGAAAGGAATGTTACCGGAAAGGGAACCTGGCCCGGAAGGGGTCTGCCTAGGGCCAGCCAGTAGTGTGTGGCTTCTTGACTTTGTGTAGGAAAAATTTCACAGCGTGAATCCAGGTGAATTTTAGAGGACGGTTATTAAAGCTGGGGACAGTGAGCCTGGCCAGTGCGGGTCGGTGGTTGAGCGTGAAGCTATGACCCGGGAGGGCCTTGTTGCATTCTGGGCCAGGGCACTGCCCAGCAGCAGGCTGTCCCCAGCCGGGGACCTGCAGGAGGCAGCCAATGGGTGAGTCTCATCATTGATGTTTCTCTTTCTCTCTCTCTCTCTCCCTCCCTCCCTCTCTCTCTCCCCCTCTCACTCTCCCTTCCTCTCTCTGAAATCAATTACAACATATTAATAAAAATTCAAAAAGCTGGGGACAGTGAAACAAGAAAGGGCTGGGGAAATGAGCCTAGGCTGGTCTTACTGGAGGATCTCAGTAGAATATGCATCAGCTTTACGCTGAGATACCAAAATGAGATTTATTCCTTAACTTCATCTGTCCTTGGGTGTGGTTTGCAAATGGCATTGATTGGATTTCTGCTCTCTCCCAGACCTGGGTAATTTAAGCTATTTACTTGGTTGGGAAGAAGTGCAAACCTTTTATATTTTGGTGTCCCTGGTTTAAGGAAGATAGGGTTTACTAGGTGGCTGCAAACTGCTTGGCACCTAGATTTTCTAGAAGGCTACAAGCTGCTGTTTATCTGTCTCGGTTTCCCTATTCTGCTTGTCCTTACTGGCCTGTCTCATATACTCAGCAAGCAACTCAAGAATACTTGGCAGTCACGATACAGATTTTATCCTCAACAAATACAAATTTAAAATCACCAGGCAATCAGGAAGGGTTGGGTTAGGATGCCTCCTCTGTTGTTTTTGGATGCGGAGAGGGCCTTATCCAAGTGGAGACTGGGCGCTTGCTTTAATTCTGAGTGTGGGTGTGCTGGGAAGCCGACTGAAGCAATTAAGTACTAAACTGTATTGCCTGTGTTAGAATACAGAGAAGGAGGGTTTCCGTAGGCAAAGATGAGAAGAGCTTTTGGAGTTAAGAAGTAAGATGCGAGTGTAGGCAACCAAAAACCTGTTTGTTTGACAGTGAGGAAAATCAGTGTGAGGGTTAGTGGAGAGGAGCTTGGAGGTTTACAGTATGTAGTTGTAAGCAAGATTCCTGGAAAATAAGTGACATGCATAGGAAGGACAGGTTCACATTTTACAAAGATAAATTGTGCAATTTAGACTTAGAGTTGGGATCTATTGAGAGTTTAAGCGTGAAGAGTGATAGTATAAATATGGTATTAAAGAAAGCCTGGAGATAGTGGAAAAGAAAACTGTCAGGAATCAGCCAATGACTGGTTTGTGAACTGGAAACAGACTCACATATTCTCTTTCTTGGGCTGATTAGCCCTGATTATCCTCCTGGGATGGGGGAAAGTGAGGGAAACTGTCCATGGAGAATTTAGCTTGTTGGATTTATCCCAGCCCTAACTGGAAAGTTCCACTTCTGCTTCACCTCCACTCCCATTCCCAAATAATATGCATACCTGTTGGGACCTAATTCAGAACCTCTGGTGAGGCACCTGCCCCCATAATGGAATTAATGAGACATAACTCCAATTTGTTTTATCTGTAATTTGGAGTAATTGGTGACATTCTCCTCCTACACTGAATTGAGAGTGTACTTTATTGAGTGCCTGCCATGTGCCAGGAAGTATGTTGGCTGCTAGGTTTGCAAAGACAAATAAGTCAGCGATTCTAGGAGGGTTTTGCAGTTATCCAAGAATGAGTTTTGCCTAGACTAGGTGTTGATCCTAATAAGAAAAGAAAGGCTATTTTTTAAAAAAATGTTTTTATTGATTTCAGAGAGAGGGAGGGAGAGGGAAAGATAGAAACATCAATGATGGGAAGAATCATTGATCACTGCCTCCTGCACGCCCCCTACTGGGGATCAAGCCCACAGTGCGGGCATGTGCTGTGACCTGGAATGGAACCGTGATCTCCAGGTTCATGGATCGATGGTCAACCGAGGAGCCTCATTGGCCAGGCAAGAAAGGCTGTTTTTGAAGGAAAAACTTAACATGGATTGGTGACCGGTTGGACACAGAGGAATGAATAAGAAAACCCACTAAAGGAGAATACTAAGTTTTGCAATGTGATTGAAAAGAACTGGGTGCCTGGGGTAGAAGAGCCACTTCAAGACAACTCATACTACCATGCAGCTTTTGTTCTGTTTTTCACTGTCTCCCTTCCAGGTTTTCAGTAGCTCCACAGAGACCTCAGGTTCATGTCCAGCCATGTCTGACTGGTTTTCAAGTTCACTGTCATCTTGGCTGAAATACTAAAAATAAGCACTAGCTTATTATTTGCTTTACTTACTTAGACTCCTTGCAATTCCCTAAACATGCTCTGCACACTTTGTTGATCGGTCACTCAGTGTTCAGCCTTTATTTTCAATATCTCCTTTATAAAACTTTCCCCCAAACTCTAGTTAATTGCTCCCAAACTTTACCACAACTGTTCCTTATACATCTATTATTTCACTCAACATACTGAGGTATAATTATTCATATATTACTCTAACTCATCCAGCACCATAAGATACTTGGGGGCAAGGTAACATATTTTAACACATTGTATGCGGGAAACGTGTTTATATGTTTTATGTTGACTGGTAGTAGAGTGCGCGATAAAAACTACCCGCAAACAATGTGTTAATTGGTTCCCTTTTTCCAATACCTAGCACCAAGCTTTTAGCCTGGCACACAGAAACCACTGAATGGCATATTTATGGACTGANTTGGTTCCCTTTTTCCAATACCTAGCACCAAGCTTTTAGCCTGGCACACAGAAACCACTGAATGGCATATTTATGGACTGAATGAATTTCCCAGCATAATGATTTCCATGTAGTAATTCCTAAACATTTATTGAATTTAATAAAAGCAGTCAAAGTAATGTAAGTTGCTACCCACAAGACAAACGTGAGTTTAAAAATACAGAGGGAAGGTGACAGAGTGGGCAAGTTTCACAGAAGTCTTTTCCTGCCTTTCCTCTGGATCTCTGCTGTCATCTCCATCCAAGGTGTCTTG